CCCCCCCCCCACCCCAGTGAAGCACACACTCACCCCTTCCCTGCCCCACGCCAGTGTAGCACACACTCACCCCTGCCAAACTCGTAGCCCATCTTGGCAAGGAGTCTGGAGCCGATGCCCCGTGTGTGCACCTCCCAGCCGGCAAAGGCGGAGCTGCAGGCCCCATGGTCCACAGCACTGGGCTCCACCACTGCAGGAAACAGGGCAGCGGCTGGGCCCCACTGGACAGGGAGCGCCTGGGCTGCAGCCAGCGTTCGCCCAAGAGCTCAGCTCTGGGCCGTGATCCCCCGCACCCTGGGCTCTCTGCTGCTTGCCCAGACCTGCTGCCGGCGCCTGAATCTAAAGCAGAAGGCACGGCAGACTCTGGCCCCGTCTGCTCCAGCCCTCCCCCTCCCCCAAGCCACACAGCGGGCCCCTTGGCACATGGGCCGTTCCCTGATGCAACTTCTCGAGCAGGGAGCTCCCCTCCTCCCCTCGTAAAAAGTCATCGCCCACTTCATGGCTCAGTCCTCCCTGCACCACCGTGGACACGGGCTTTCAGAACCCACCAACTCACAGAACTGATCCTGGAGGAACGCCCGCCCCCTGCATCCTGACTGAGCCTGCAGGGGGTGCTGGGCGGCCCCAGCCAGGTTCCCTTCTGAAACCCTCCTGCCCCCCGCTGCCTGGATGCGTGGATGCCCGGCCTGTGTGGGGGCTCTGGCGGCAGGACCCCCACGCCCCACCGGTCCCTCTTTGCACCCCATGTGCCTGGCAGCCCCGCCTCAGCGGCTGCAGCCCTGCTCTCCAGGGTGTGGACGTGCAGTCCGTCCCAGGGGCTCCTCGAAGACAAGACCCCGCACGCGGCACGCTCCCCGCACCTCCTACAGTGGCTGCCACGCCTCTGCGGGCGCGACCGCACACAGCCCACTGGGACAGCCCACCTCACCGTGACCACCCTCTCCAGTCCTCTGGGGAGATGCTCACAGGCCCCGCCAGCCAGATGCCGCCGGCGCCTCCCTTCCCAGCTTTGGGGACCCAGAGCAGCTGCTGTACCTCTGGCATAGCTGGAATCATCCGCATCACCGCTGTCCGAGTCCGAGGACCCTGTGGGATCGGTGCGCAGTGGGGGCAGGATGCTGTCCCCCTCCACCACGGCCTCCTTCAGCAGCAGCGAGTCAAACTTGACCGTATAGTAGCCGCTATCCACGTCTGGGGGCAGGGGACAAACACAGGCCAGATCAGCGGCCTCGACAGGTGGTAGGAACCACGGTGGGAACTGGAAGGAAGGCGGAGCCAGGGTCAAGGGCAGTCTTGCTCCTCTGGGCGCGGACCAGGGTCCTGACGCCTAACCAAAGGAGTGGCCCTCCAGGAATTCTCACAGGTGAAGCACGGACAGGGCCTCCAGGAAGGGCAGCCTCACCAGTTATCCGCGCTGGGTACCAAAGGCCATCCTGCTGCTTGGCCAGACATGCAGAGCCAGTCTGTAGGGAGCTCAGGTCCGGGTCCTGGAAGGGGCGCAGCTCATCGACAGAGACCACCTGCCCATGGGAGAACCTGCCAAGACAACCCCAGTGGGGCAGGGGCTTAGACAGGGCACAGCAGGGGGGGCAGGGGCTCAGACAGGGCACAGCAGGGCAAGTGAGCCCAGGGGAACCGTGCCCACCGGCCTGGGCCGCGCCCCGAAGGGAGGGAGAGCAGGGGACAGACAGACGCATGCGCGCGCATGCACACACACACACACACACACACATCTACTCACACGTATACGCGTAGGCCTGCACACACATACCCCTGACATAAGTACAGACACATGGGTACACGTACACACACGCGTGCACAAACTCTTGTTCTCGGCATGGATCTGGCTACCCTGAGGACAAGACGCTTCACCTATGCTCCAGACTTCTGGGCTACAGTGACAGTGTGGCGGGCAGACAGCCTGTGACCTCACCAGATAGGAGGCCACCAGCGCTAGCAGATAATCAAGGCAGGTGTGTTTGTGAGTGTGCGCTCACAGGACTGAGTCCTTCCCAAACCAAGTAGGAGAATCCAGTTGTAACAGTGATGTCTTGACCTTTTGATATCAGTGAACCAGTGAGATTAAAACCAAAACTGAGAGGGGGAGGGAAGGGGAGGGGAGGGGAGGGGAGGAGGAAGAGGAGGAGAGAGAGGAAGAAACGTGGGGACAAAAGACTACAAGCTTCAACTCTGCCAAATAAAGGCACGAAAGACTAACCACACATCCACTCTACCGTGCCGGCATTTCAAAGAGGAAGCTGTTTAACCCTACAAAGGCAGTCGGGGACTGGCACTGACTCGGTGACACACAGCCAACACTCGGCAAGGCAGTCCTTGCAGGCTGGGATCGGTGGTGACGGAGGGAACGGAAAGGAAGGGGTGGGCAAAGAAGGCCGCAGACACCTCCCCGGCAGGATGCCAGGCAGCTCCTTCTCACACTGGACTGTCCTCAGGCTCTCAGGAAACTGCCAATGACCGAGTGGCACCGGCAGTTACAAGACTGAGCCCCAAATGTACTGCAGTAGTGACTTCGGATGAAAACCCTTATTCAGCTGAGGAGAATACAACGTGTTGACGATGGAGGCCTAAACCCAAGACTAAGTCCAACTGAATACCCACTTCAACACACACACACACACACACACACACACACACACGGACACCACCAATTAAACTTTTCTGCAAGAATCTTCAGTGATAACAGAAGTCTGAAAATTCGGTACACTCCTTAACCTAGGTGGTTCTAGGAAATGATTCTAGAAAAATAATAATGAAAGTATGCAAAGATTTGGCCCAAAAGATGTAAACAAAATACAAAAGACTTGGAAATAACCTACTTTTTTTTTTTTTAAGTTTTAAAGAGAGAGACACGCCAGCCGGGAAGAGGGGCAGAGGGAGAGAATCCTAAGCAGGCTCTACTCTCAACATGGAGCGCAATGCGAAGCTGGATCCCACGACCCTGGGATCATGACCTGAGCAGAAATCAAGAGTTAGATGCTCGACCCATTGAGCCACCCAGGCACCCTGGAAATAACCTAAATTTCTAACCCTGGGGAGTAGTGATGGGCATATCCATACATGAATTTAAAACTAAGAGAACTGATGAATGGAATGATGAAGAGCACCCAGGAGGAGCACCCGGCACACAGCTCCCCAGGCGATGGGCAGCGGGCTACATACGTGGCCATCGAAGGAGGGAAGGCTGCTTTTATAAGGAGATTAGAGATGGGCTTCCCACAGAGAAAACCCAGATCAGTCACCTACCTCCCAACATTCATGGCAAAACACTCCAGAAGACATAAAACTTGAACCTAAAAGCAAGCATTTAGAACCTTAAGGAAGGTTCTGAGTCCTCGCTGTGGCCAAGTATAGAAAAACAAGGCTAAATCTAAGCAAAATTGTCAAAATTCACAGCTTCAGCTCTGGAAACGGACACAAATGACACATTCATAAGTCATCGTATTTGAGAAAACGTGCAGCTTAGGAGAGGAAAGGGATCTGGGACGGGCTGCGCCTTCACAGTGGGGACTGCTTCTCATTTGCCCCCCCCCCCCCGGGGGGGGCGTGGCAGCGGCAGAGACCCAGGGTCTGGGAACAGCAGCAGGGAGCGGGCGCGGGCGTTTCCCAGGGAGGCACTCACCAAGTACCTAAGGGAAGCCCTGAAAAGGAAAGAGCCACAGAAGGGCTCTGCCCCCAAGCACCCCTGGTTCTCTCGGGAACAATGCGTGTGCATCGGGGGCTCAGAGAGACCCCACCGCAGTGACAGCAGGAAGACCGGGGGCTGGCTGACCCGGGAAGGTGGCCCCCCGCCCACATACATTGACTGATGGGGGAAGCATCTTGGGTAAGAGCGTTTGAGAATAACTTCTGCCTAAATCACTGGCTGGCCACTAAGCTACGCAGACACAATGGTGACTCCCAAAAAGCCAGGCTAAAAAGAAATATGTTTAAAGATCTGAGTAGAGATATCAGAGCCTGCACGCTATGGGGGGGCAGGCTTTGTAAGGTAGGCCCAGAAACATACTATAAAACAAAATACCGAGGAAAACAATTCAGAGTCCAGAGTTGCTACAATATATTATCTGAAATGAACAGTTGCAATAAAAACTTACCACGCAAACAAACAATAAAGTGTGAAGCACAGTTAGGGGAAAAAAGCAGCTGATAGAACGTGAGTGGCCCCTAATGTTGAATGTTGCAAAGACCTCAAAGCAGATAGTGTATGTTCAAAGAAGTAACTGGAAATATACGACAGTGATTCAAGCAGTGATTCTTCAAACGTAACACAAATTGTAGACACTCCGGATTCCAGTCTGCACACCAGAAGCCGGGGAGCTGCCCCCCTGTTCTAACCAACGGCAGAAAGCTGAACGGGACAAAACGTCAGCGACTCTTCTTCGGCACACGAGGGAGGACGCTGCCCAGCTGGAGGCCAGGAGGCGGACGTGGGAACCGCCACACAGCAGAGCAGGCAGCCAGCGGCCACTGCAGCGGGAGCTGCCCCTAGGAAAGACCACCTTCGCTGTGGCCGGGAGTGGCCAAGTCTGCAGAGCCTGGGGATTTTATCTGGGTGAATACTGGAGAAAATCGCCTCGGGCCCCGGCTTGGGGCGGGGGGGGGGGGGGGGGGGGGGGGGGGGGGCGGGATTCTGAAGCAGCTCCGCGCACTGGCTCCTCCGAACTAGGTCTGTCCCCAGGGAGCCCGGTGAGCCAGAGCCTCGCTGACCAGCCCAGTGTGGCCATCCTGCCCCACCCGAGTAGGGGTGTGCGTGCACAACTGAGACACACACGTCAAGTTCACGATCCGGAGGCACTGGCGTCCGGCTGGAGGACGGCAGACTGCTTCCCTCCCTCACATCTCACCACCATGTTACTAACAGCCCATTACAGTTACAGTTCCTTAAAGCCAAAGGCAAAGAGAAAATCCTGAAAACAGCAAAAGAGAAGGCTCTCTTCACGTACACAGGTCCTCAGTAAGGCTAACTGCCAACTTCTCATCAGAAGCTACGGAGGCCAAGAGGCAGCGGGACAACAGAATTAAAGTCCTGAAAGGAAAAAAACCAACCAGCAACCAAGAACTCTCTCTCTGGCAAAACTATCCTTCAAAAGAGAAATGAAGACGTTCCGTATACACAAAAGCAGAGGGCGTCCGCTGCTAACAGGCCTGCCTACAAGGAGTGACCCAGGGGGTCCCTCAAACCAAAGCAAAAGGACCCTAGACTGTAACTCAAGCCGTATGAACGCTGACACAGGCCACCACGCAGGTAACTATAAAAGCCAGTGTTGCCGGGGAAGCAGTGACGGAGGGCTGGGGGGCGCGGGCACAAGGCCCACAGAACAGAGGAGCCGCTGGCTGACTCAGCAGCGCGACGTGCAACTCTTGATCTCAGGCTTGTAGTTCGAGCCCCAAGCTGGGTGTAGAGATTAGTTAAAATCTTTAAAAACAAGAAAAAGAAGAAAACAAATAATAAAATGACAAAGATGTCTTTCACTATCAGTAACCACTGTATTATTAATTTCTAAAATAATTTTGTAAATTTTTAATGTTTATTTATTATTGAAAGAGAGCGCACGCACGTGAGAGAGAGAGAAGAGAGAGAGAGAGAGAGAGAGAATCTCAGGCAGTTTCCAGGGGCTCCCAAAAGTCAGCACAGAGCCCAATGTGGGCCTGAACCCATGAACCTCAAGATCATGACCTGAGCCAAAGTCGGATGCTTAAATGACTGAGCCACCCAGGCGCCCTTAATTTTTTAAATAAATTTTAAAAAGTGTTTTTAATGCTTATTCATTTTTGAGACAGAGAGAGACAGAGCGTGAGTGGGGGAGGGACAGACAGAGAGGGAGACCCTGAATCTAAAGCAGGCTCCAGGCTCTGAGCTGCCAGCACAGAGCCTGATGTGGGGCTTGAACTCACTGACTGTGAGATCAAGACGAGCTGAAGTCGGACACTCAACCGACTGAGCCACCCAGGCGCCCCTTAAAATAACTAAAAAGAAATGTTTATTTTGAGAGAGTGCTCAAGCAAGGAGGGGCAGAGAAAGAGGGAAAGAGAGTCCCAAGCAGGCTCCACATCCAGCACAGAGCCCAACACGACCGCTCAACCAACAGGGCTACCCAGGCCACTTTAAATGTAAGTGACGTAAACTCTAATTAAAAGACAAAACTGGAAGATTGGGTAAAAAGAATTATCAAATTCTATGCCATCTATAAGAAACTTGTCTTGGGTCCAAAGACAATAATATGTTGAAAGTTACTAAAGTAGGTCTTTCATAAAAGTGGTATAACATGAGCTTTTGAAAAGTGGGGGAATATCTGTATAGAAAATCCACAATAGGGGCATCTGGGTGGCTCAGTTGGTTAAGCGTACGACTCTCGATTTCAGCTCAGGTCATGATGTCACAATATGTGACTTTGAGCCCCAAGGTGGGCTCTGCACTGATGGTGTGGAGACTGCTTGGGATTCTCCATCTCCCTCCTCTCTGCCCCTCCCTTCTTCCTTCCCTCCCCCTCCCTCTCTCAAAAAAATACATACAAATT